GCTAGGAGCAAAAGAAACCAATAAAGAAAACCTCCTTGTCTGCCAGAGCGAGACCTTCAAGAGCAGGTAGAAAATACCACCAGCCACCACACGTTTGATGTGGAATGGGAGAGGTTCTTGTGGAAAGTGACAGCTCAGATGAGGCAGCCGGGTCAGAGGTACCATTTGCACATTAGAAGCAAATGTTTTCACCTTGCATGTTTCCAGTGAAATAAGGAACAGATTGATACCAAGGCCAAAGCAAGGGAAAATGAGATATGAATGCAGTTCTGCTCAAAAGCAGCAAGGGAAGAACTTCTCATCTGAAAGAGCCTATTCCATTTCATCTCATCCTCTCTTTTTGCTCCGGAGCATGGAAAAAAGTCAACTTTTACCTGGTTCAGGTAGATTCCCAGCACCAGCCAATTTGCCCTGCCTCTTGCAGAAGTCAAAAATCTCTGCCTGAGAATCACATTCAGATCATCTAACAGTCCTTGTGAAGGCAACTACTTCAGCCTGCTATGAATGAGTTGACATTTACCCAGGCTGGAGAAAATCTCCTAATGTGCTGGAGAGACCACAATGGTCTTTGGCCAGAACCAATAGCCCAAGCAAGGCAATTTTAGTGCTCCAAGACAGTATAAGACAGCATCCCACCCACTACACAGAGGAATCACTGTCCATCTTCATCTTCCTCTTCAGCATAAGGAAAGCAGGCAGTCCACTCGCTGAGGAAAAAAAAAAAAAAAAGAATTCTAACAACTATCAAAAATATGGATGAAATGGTCTCCTTATCTCACACCCATATTCATTTTTTGATCCTATTAAGACACAAGGAAAGCTTTGGGGCTTCCCAGATACAGCAGGTACGATGTGGGAATGGGATGTGGGGAATGCTTTCTGACACAGACCTCACTCATAATGCTGAAGTCCTAGAGGGGAGCTATTGCAGGTCTTGCCTGCTAAAGCTTTGTGCCACACTGCTCCTACACAAGCATTATAAATCCAGGGCATTTTTGAATTCTGCATCCCTTTCAGAAGGCCAGTCAGACAGATTGTCTTTAGTTATTTTGAAAAAATCAAATGTAGATCTTCTTCATGCAGTTTACCAAAGCACTTCAGGATCTCAAAGCAGAGATCATCCCTGTTACCATAAAATGAAATAAATTAATAATAAAAAATGAAATGAAATGAAATGAAATGAAATGAAATGAAATGAAATGAAATGAAATGAAATAAAATAAAATAAAATAAAATAAAATAAAATAAAATAAAATAAAATAGAATAAGTACCTGTAAAAGTCAGCTTCCCTAAGTACCAGAAGTCTATCAGTCCTTTGGGGGACAGGGACGTGACAACACAAGTTAAAGAAATGACCAGAACCATAAAGGTGTGATTTCCAGTATCTGCTTCTTCAGAATAGAAAGAAGCTATAATGAAGGGAACCACTGGCCTCTCCTCTCCAGTGGATGAATGCTCCTGTTTAAAGCTCTACAGGTTCATGCGTGACAAATGCACTTTATTATATGGCTCTGAGATGTTATCACACGCCTCTCTGCAAATTACTGTATCACATGGATAACCCCAAGATGCACACACAAACACATCAGTTACACCACTACAAAACAGTATGAATCTTGTTGGTTTCTGCTTTTAAACCCACACATTAGCTTTGGCTCAACTCCACCTCCTCCATGTCATGACTAGCAGAGAAGTAATCAGAGAAAAGCATGGAGTGCTTTTCTGCTGTGCTCTGCAACAAACAAGCACTATGTGACACACAGTAAATAAAACATTTGGGAGAGAACGAAAGGCTCAAGTATCTTTAGTTGGAATGGCATGATGTTTAGATTGGGGGGGGGGGCTTCATATACGGCATGCATTTGCAGCTAGTCATTCTAAAAGAGCTCACCTGAATACGACATGTATGTCCTGTTGAACTTATACTTGAAGGCATCCCGTGGGAACTCAAATACAAACCTTTCCCAGGCACAAATTCTGAAATGAAAGAAAGAATGGGGAGAAAACAGCCCATTTCCTCTGGTACTCCTCTTCTGGAAATGATTTATTCTTTCATCCTTATCATCTTTAAATGACAATGTTTCTAGCTGAGCCTAAGTACGTCTCACCTTCTCCCAACTGCACACTTCATCTCCCCTCCTGATCTCCCATTTCCCTCTTGTTACACCAAGGACAACTGTTCATCCACAGTAGTGATGTCAGAAAACGTACAGGGCATGGCAGAACAAGCTGACACGAAGCTGACACGAAGCAGTTGCAAGCAGGGGAAGAGCTTCAGCAAAGGCACGGCACGCGTGAGAAAGTTCTCACTGCTTGGAGAAATGCCAGTCCAGATTCCCACAGCTTAAATTCCCCTCGTGGCTTTGACTTGATCACCTTCTATTAGCTGGCTGTCAACGTTCAGAAATGCCTGTGAAATGGTTGATGTTTTGGCCAAGGAACAAGAAGAATTTTGGACTGAGGATCTTGGACAATTCAACTTAGCATGTCAAACTGGCAAACGTGCCTTAGTCTTTGATTCTCTTTTGATGAGCCTTTTCATATCACGAGTTTTCCATTGCATTGTAAAACCACACACCCTGAAGAGGGAAGTTGCCAGAGGCACGCAGAAAACTAGCTAGATGAGTGGATATGGCTGGTTCTCCTTCAAGCATACATAAAGCTAATGCTTCATCTGCAGATGAGCAGCTAAGAAAAACACAGCAAGTCTCACCAACTTAACATGCTCTTCTATCTTTTCTTACAGGTAGGAGGAAGCTGTGTGTTCTCTTACCTCTACCTGGTCTCCCTGAGCAGAAGGTTAGATGGATGCAAGGATATTCCTCCTCCAAAGAATCCTACCAATTTTCTCAATGGAACTTGAGCTCTCCCTTGACCTCAAAGTACCCTGACATTAGGACGACTCCCTCATTTGCTTAACCATCGTTTTACCTGCACAGAGCACTGCTCCCAAACAGGTGCAGCTCTCTGCACTAGTGTTCACTTGGCACTTACTGTTACCTGCTCTCACATCCAGCTTGACAGGTATAGCAACAGGGACGAAGCCAATTGCTGGCAGGATACCAGTAGCCCTCCAGTGCCACAGTCACAGCTTTTGTGGTCTGTCCGGTGACTTTTGTTTATCCTGCTGGCTGGGCATCAACATTTCCAGATGAAGAGCTAGGAAGAAACAACCCTGTGGGCAAGTTGTTGCTGACGCTGCAGAAGCCTGGTCCTTTACTGTGAAGCGTCTGATGCTGGCCAGGGCTTGACACGGCCTCCCAGGCCAGGGAGCAATTTGTACAAAATGAATATACTTTTTTGTAACAAAGAATGCTTCGCTGGTCACAGGTCACTCCATTTTCAACTTCTTAGCAGACTTTACCGTAGTTGCCCTGTGTGAATGTGCTTTAGACCCAGCTGTTACTGCTGGTTGATCCTAGACTGAAATCCTGCAAGCGAGTGTGCAGGCAGTGCCCTGTGACAGGTGGCCAGTCACTTGTGAACAGATCTGGGGCAAAGAGGATGCTCTGCCACAGCTGAACTCTGCTCCACAGAGACCTTCTTCACAACTTTGCACTCCAGCATTTCATGCTGAGCTGAGCATCCTTCCCTCCAATAAATTGTGCTGGGGAGTGGGGAAGGACAGATGGGCTGTGCAGCATAATGCAAATGCCAGCTCATTCTGCAGGCCAAGCAAATATATTTTCCTTTCCCTGGATGTCTTATTGACAGATATCACCAAAACCAAAAAGCTCATTCTAACCCATAGGCATTATACTCTATCCTTGGAGAACAAAATCCTGTCTTTATTTGCCATCAGTGGCAAAATTCCCACAGGACTATCTAGGCATGGTGTCTCTGGCTACCATACCTATGTCATCTTTTCTGCTGTTGCATCCACCGCTCCATTTTCAGCTAAGATCAGCCTAGGACCAAACGCATATCAGTAAAACCACAGAGAAGGAATAATATGAAAAAGAGCAATGTTTTTTAATCTGTGCAGACTTCAAAGAGCAGCAGCTTTCTCTTTTGAATAAAAGCAATGTCAAGTCCTCCTCATTAAAGAAGAAAAGGCCTTAACCTAGTATTTTGTTAGTATCTGCTCATCTATTCCTAGGCCTCTGCAAAGTCAGGCTTAATTCCTTACAGCAGCAGATCACCAACTCGATCACAGCATAGATCTCACTTTAACCCAGATGATCTTTCACAAACTTCTTCCCCTCCACACCCACATCTCAGGCACGTCTTTGCTCAATCTTGCCTGTAACATCCACGAGACAGCTACACCAGTGACTTCTCTGCAAATGCAAAATATCTATTTTTAGAGGGCTTTAAATTGACAAGAAATGCTGACCTCAGAGAACCCTGAATCACAGCCTCCCTATTTCATCTGCCCTGCCTGCAAAGCGCAATGCTCTATGGAAGCAAACCACCACCATCTGGCTAACAAGTTGCTCCAGAGCTTCCCCAGGCCATAACTGCACTTTGAGCACCTCTCTTCTTTGGTACGTTCCCCAAAGTCTTCTCCATGCCTATCCCACAGGTCAGATTTGCATTCTCTCGCACTCTCAACGCTGGCAATTTCTCTCTCCTCAAGAGCAGCAGAGTAGTGGGGCTGTGGTGACTCACCCAGCTTCCCCATGCCCCTTACCAACCGTTTGTTTGTTTGTTTGAGTGAATTGTATTGTTGGAGCCTCGTTGCCACGTGTGTAACTATACATTTTTTTTTATGGCAACCAGAAGTTCAGTTTTATAAACAGATGCTGTTGTGGGCCTCTATTACTCAGCTGGATCAGCGTCAGTCTTTTTTTCCAGGCTGCGGTCTCTTGTGCAGCACACTGAGTCAGACACAACCCTACACAGATTTCTTTGAATCGCTGGTTTCCTCCCTGCCTCTTGACTCCGTGCCAACGGAGCAGGGCGTAGCTTCATTTTTTTTTTTCCCCCCCTTCTCTCTCTCTCTTTAAAGGCAGACTGATTCATAGTAACTCCTTTAAAACAGAGCGTAAGGGACACCACCCTTGCACACCACCGGAGGAAACTTAAGCAAGAGTCACTCCCCTTCACTACAGCTCTGCACTGCCGGACAGCAGCGCTGCAGCCCAGCGTGCTCCCGCTTCCAGAGGCGCCAGGACCGGCCCCAGCCCACACGGTAAGAACTTCTCCTGAAAATCCTTAGCGACTTCACTCGCTGGTGGCTCATCCTCTAAACCAGAAGCTCCAGGCTGCTTTTCTCCCTTGCTCTGCCTGCTCTCTACAACTCTGCGTTTGCGCATGCTATGGACTGCACCTTATCCTTTCAGCTTTTACTTTGAAATCCAGCTGCATCGCAAGGCAAATACAGCCAGGCGCGACGGTTGCAATCACAGAGCACCGGCTCCTGCTATGCTATTCCTGCCTCCAGGGCATGTGCAGCCAGGACAAAAGCACTGAAAGCCCTACCTGAGCCAGCTGTGGTGCAGGAATTGCCACACTCTTTTTGAACAGCATAATTTATGAACATGGGAAAACGTCTCACTGAAATCAGGGCTGCAGGTTCAGCACTCCTGGCTTTTGCCTCGTGTTTTTCTGCACATCTGTGTTTTTATTCCCCCTCTATCAGCAGTTAGCCAAGCTCTAATTTCAAACACCAGTGATCATTCCAAGAGAAGTCCGAACAGTGAACAACCCTAGAGGTGCAGGCTCTGGGAGAGGAGCACAACAGCGAGGAGCTCTTTCTTCTCTTTGCGCTGGGGCTTCAGCTCCTGAGCCTGAAGACAAGCCCCAGTTCTCACTTCACCAATGGCACACAATCCATAAAAACGTATGCAGTGCTTTCCTTGGCAGCACAGAGCCTGGAGCAGGGAGCTCTGAGAGGCATTTAGGGAGAGGGTGGAATTGCTGAGAGCACCACGGGCTGCATCACTGTGGGGGAAGCTCCATTGGAAAGTGTAGCATCGCACACACCACTAATTTTCTCTATTCTGCCTTTTTCCATGCAATCTCACCCCTTCCTTCCCCTTTTTTCACCAGTTCTCTTAACTTCATCTGTCTGCTTATAGTCTTCATCCTGCGGTCAAATCTCTGAACTATTTTTGAGGTGTGAGAAAGGGAGTGGATCAAAGCAACTTCATTGGCACTAGGTTTTGGTTCCTGTTGCAGAAACCCAGCCCTCGCCCGCACAGTTTTATCCAAAAGAGACTGAAGAAGTACTGAGCTCAGTCCAGCTGGGGATCCCTGGGCTCGGGTTGGTGCTGTGGACAGTGCTATAGAAATGGCTGAAAAGCTGAACTGATCTTATTTTGCGGCAGTAGGATGGGCTTCCCGACTGCTTGAGATCCCTTCTGGCCCTACAGCTTGTGGCTCAGTCATGTCGAGGTTCCTCCTGTCTGAGAAACAGATGTGTCAGTGGAAGGAAGCTGGCTGGGGCACTGAGTGTTTCCAGGCTCGTTAGCAATAGTTCTGGGTAGAACACATTTTAGGAAGCTGTCTCTTACCATGATTAATAACAAAATCAGTCTCTAAAAAAAAAAAAAATCTGTAGCCAAGAGCAACTTTCTCTCAAAAGCTTTGAATTCCTCAAGGCACCTCTGAGAGCAACTTTGCCCAGGGACTGCCCACTTGACATTTCAGGATGGAGTGGGATTCTTTTCTGAGTAAACATATAAGAGGGATATGGGCATAAAAAAATGCAAAAACCTGGAGCCTGTTAACTATTGTTCCTATGATAACAGGGTTTCAAGTAATCTGAATGGCTCCACTGCCTCCCCCACCCTGCTCCCCTCACACCACTGTCAAACCTAGGGACAGCATGGGCTTAACGGCAGCTTATTTCCAGCCCCAACACTGGAGATCAGCATATGAGAAGCATCAAAACGGCAGTGCCTAGAAGCACCCCCTGAAAGACAGCTCCTTTAGGCAAGGCTTGGCACGTGCACATCAGCAGGCTCCAAGGGAAAGCTCTCCCATGGCTATGACTAACCACGGGAACGCTCGGCCGGGCGAGCCGGGCATCCCCGCAGCACGTGCCAGCCCGTGCCATCCCAGGGCAGGCATCTGAGCGGGATGGAGCCATGCCCAGGGAAACACCACGGGACAAAGGACAGCGTTTAACTGGGAAAGACCCAGTTCAAGGGTGGGCCTCTCAAGAGTTGCAGCGTTGCTAGTGTTCCCCGCTACCCTGCTGAGGTCACAGAGTGCTGGGCTTGGAAAACCAGCCCTGCTGGCCTAGCTGGTGGTCTTTCTGTCAGCGCAATGCATGCAGGACTGGCTGTTTGCTAGCCTGGGGTGGAGCAGAGGTTGCGTTTTGAAAGAGCTCGGGGCGATGTGCTGATAACAGCCAGCATTGTTCGGCAAAAGACCCGTCTTGGGGGCCTAGCTTGTAATGAAGCAGGAGGGGATTTGCTGCAATTTCTCTGTTCATGAGCCACTAGGCTGCAAGGCTGGCCCATGGCACTCAGCCTGTACTTGCTCGAGTTTCCTGAGAACAGAAATGGCAGGAATGTGCAGGAGGTACAGCCTGCTTCCTTAGTTGTGCCTTCTCCCACTCTGCTTCCTAAGTCCCATCAGACATGGATCACAGAGCAAACACCCTGTTCCAGAGCACATTTTCCCTGCCACCCGAGTCCTCTTTGGCTGCGGATGGGTGCTCTCTTGGCCACAGGCTGCACCTGTTGGCAAACTGTGTTGGACCTGACTATTGCTGGATTGGTATTTGCCCTCCGACCCTCAAATGCCCCACTAGGCAAAAAGCATCACGGCTAGACTCCTTAGCTCTCAAAGGGCTCCTATCACTCTACCCGTCAGTAGGGAGGTACCAGGACTGCAACCCAGTTCAGTTCAGTGTAGCTGCTGGGTGCAGCACTTGTTTCTTTTCTTCCCTTCTGTTCTGATGCAAAAGTCTACTGAAAACTGGCCAAAAGATGAGATTTCTCTACCATTCCTTCAAGACAGGGAGAATCTGGAGCCCACAGGAGCTCTTTTACCCCTTCAGGGGGAGAATGAGGAAGCGGGTTTCCTATCTCCACAGAGAGATGGATTCTTTGTACTTCACTAGTGTCTTCTTACAAGTGTGAACTCTTGCTGATACAAGACAGGACAGACCAAAAAGGAAGCTCCTTTTTGGTCCATTCTCCATGGCTCTGCTCATTTGACAACGCTTGCTAGGACTGATAAGTAACTGATAGCTAACCCATGCTGGCCATGAATAAATGTGCCTAACCACCTCAGCTCAGCACGAATGTGACTGCGCTGATCCTCTGTGAGAGCCAGCTCACAGCCAGGCATCCCACAGCATGACAAAGGCTCCAGCAGCAATTCACCCTATAAACTTACCAGTGGGAAAGCGAGTGACGCTTTTCTTATACCGCTTTCTGCTGTAACACTCCCAGAGAGGGTAGCAAAGAAGCACATCTGGAGGCTGCACTCCGGAGCACAATTTTTGCAAAACCTGCCAGAAGTCTTTTGCAAAGTACCTCCCGAGTCCAAACAGCTGGACAATGCACAAAGCAAGTTCTGGCCAAATCTGTCAAATCTCCCCCTGAACTGTTTGCAGCAGGGCAAAGAGTATCAGGAAGCTGCTCTTTCAGTAACACCGAATTGTGACCATGCCTTGTCATGGTATGAACAGGCTAGGCCATCTGAGCTCCCAAAACCACCTTTCCCAAGCGACAGGTTTCCAAGCTCGTGGTTAAGATTTATCCCCTTTCCTTCACGAAAACCAGCAGGCAGGAGGAGATGCCCACAGTGAGAGCCCAATGATCCTAGGTTAGGTCACCCTCAGCCACAAAGCGCAATGTAGTGAGTTGTGAGTATCAGTGTGGCTGAAGGCTGGTGAGCAATGACTCACATCCAGGGCTTAGTTATCGCTATGTGAGGCCACCTGGCAATACGTTCAGATTAGAGGAAATCCGGAGCAAGGGCCTTTGCTGCCCCTTTGCTCTTGCGGGGCAGAGTTTGCTCAAGTAGCAAAGTTGTAAAAGCAGCTGCCACGATCCGGTCCAGTGTCCACATTCCTCTCGTTCCTGAGCGACACCTCCCCGGTGGCCTGAACAAACCTCTGGAAAAGACAGGATGAGCAACGGGAGCAAGAGAAGAGAGCGGAAAACCCCCCGTGCTCGGTGCAGGGGGGCCAGGGCGTTGGCGCGGGCGGCGGCAGGACGAGGCCCCTTGCGGAAGGGAGGCCGGGCCGCCGTGCGGCTCCCGCCTGCCTCCTAGCCGGCCTCTGCAAACTGCAGGCGGCACGGAGGGAGCTGCACACGCAGCCTGACATCTGGTACAGGCGATTTCTGCATACAACGTGAGCTGTAGTAACCCTTGTTTTGCATGGTTCTGCCAGCCCATACTAGTCACAGCTGTAAGCAGCGCTTCCAAAGCCAGATAGGGCATTTTACTACCTGATTGCCCGTATCCTGCCCTGCAAAGACCACAGACCTACTCCAGGCTGCACAGCATCCTCTTGCTTTTTCTTTATACATAGGAATTAATCTTCTACCCATGTCCCCACTATCACTCCTGCACTGTGGGTTGAAAGAAGGAACTATCAAACAATTTTGCTATTTGATCCTGCTCAGTCTTTCTCAAGCTGGTTGCAGGGGGACGCCCTCAAAGCACAATGATCCAAAACATCAGACCCTTCATATGCCTGAATCATGCTGGCCTCAGGTAGCGTGGCATACATGATACTGGCAAGTTGGCAAGTTTTCCAGTCTCTGGGGAAAGGGAGGCTATCAGATGAGGAGTCATTTCTTTTTCACAATCATCCTCAACTGAAAAAAATAAAAGAGGAAGATCGTTAGAAAATTGTCTACGAAAACCAGAGATTTGCAAATGCAGCTAAAACTACAGCAAATGGGGATTCCACAGACCTTCCACCTCTGTCTAAAGGCTACTGGAAGGGAAAAAAAGATGCCCAGCAGAAAAAATACAAGAATTTTTGCTGACACCACAGTGTAATGTTGACTTTCCTGCCAGAGATGTCAGATGGTCATGACGTGGGCACTGACAGTGTCATACACAAATAAATACATGCACCCAGAAAGGAATCATAAGCTTGGAAACACATACAAACACAGAAACCACAAACAACATAGGGGGAGCCATGCCAGCTGCAGGTGCACACCCTACACACTCCACCTCATCCCAGCATCTTTTCAGAACCACTGCAAGTCTCAG